ATCGTTCGAATTATGTAATATTTTTTTTTTTAATTTGGACCAAAAAAGCGCGTTAATAATAATTCAGAAAAAGGAATTAGAATTTTAAAAAATGTGTTTAAGGTTTTCTTATGATTGCATTAATTTTTTAGCAGAAAATATATTTCTAAATCATGCGTAAACATATAGATGGATAAATTTTGATTTTATTGTGACTGAATAATAAACAATCTTGGCTTTATTATTATTAATAATTAAAAATGAATGTCAATTTGAAACATTATATAATCTACATTTTACATTAATTACATAATTTACATTACCATTTTACCGGAAGATTAGCTCTGTTTGCCATCACTAACTTATGTAATTGTTCCTTTTTTTGTAAAGCAGTTGAACTCCCATTAATTACAGCTAAAATTTCATTAGCCAACCTAATACTAAAAACTTTACCGGATCTTTTGTCAGAAGCATCTAGAATCCATTTAATACCTTTATGTTGTCTTTGACGTTCATTTAATGGTCTAGGAATCAAAGTTACTTTTGAACCTTTCTTAGAACTCATATGACTGACCATTGGAGAAGCTTTTTCAATGGCAGATTTGGTAATTAAATAAGGATCATTGTGAGTCTGTTTGCGAATTTCAATCATGGCATCGGCAACAAATCGTCTTGCGGTAGCTTTTTTACCATCACGCATAATCATATTTGTTAAAAGTGAAATTACAGGATCCTCTCTCACGAATCGGGTTTCATCATTTACCATGATGGTTGTTTCTGTGTTTGATTCAGACGAAAGCGTTGCTGTCACTTCAGAAGTATCGATAATGGTTTCAGACGTGGAATTTAATATTTCTGTCGCTGGTGATTTTAACGAATTTAGAATGGAAGTTTTAGGGGAAATTTCCGAGAAATGTGACGGTGTAAAAACGGGCTTGGTTTCACTTGATTTCAATTGTGATAACGTTTCTTTAAAAATTGATAATGAATCTTTATTATTTGAAGAAGGTTTATTTAAATCATTAAAAATTTCATTGAAAGGATCATTTTGCTTTTTGGAATCGTTAGTAAATAATTTTTCTTCATTCTGGTTATCGTCGGTTTCGTTGCTCTCTTTGTCGTTGTGGGTAATCGAATTTTGAAAAGAATGGTGAAACGAATTTATCGGTGAAATCGATGAAAATCTTTTGGTTCTTGTTACAAATGTGAAGAAGGGACGCGCCGAAATGATTGATAAAGAATTCATTATGAATAAATTGAATAAATTGCGATATTGAGATTGATGAAAAATTTTCAAGATAACGGTTGAAAAAAGATCTCGTGTAACGGGGAATCCATTCAAAAAAAAAATTTTTTTTTTTTTTTTTACCTTATCTTACAGTACTAATATAAGAATGACATTCCTTATAACTCGACAATTCAAACGTTTAAAACAAATTATTTCAATTCCCACTACTACATTATATTTCCTACCATCAACTCACATCTTTCTTCGTAGATACACGGCAAGAAAACCCACGAAACTCAGTAATTCCTCGGCACCAATTTACGCTCGAAGGGAATTAGAAGATGGCAGTTTATTCATATCTCGAGTACCATTATCCCCACAAAAAATATCTTATGATGATTTACCACCACCATTAAAACCAATTAAAGAGAAATCATATCATTTAACTCAAGAACAAGTAAAGGAAATACAACAACTACGCGAACAAAATCCTGTTAAATGGTCTAGAAAAAAATTGGCAGAAAAATTTGAATGTAGTCAACTTTATATAGGTATTATTGCTCCCGTATCTAAAGAAAGGAGAGCTCAATTAGAAGAGGAAAAGGATGCGGAAATTGAAGAGATGGGATGGAAAAAGAGATTTATTAGGAAAGAGAGGGTCAGAAGGAGAGAATTATGGTGAAATTTTATGGAAACGCGTATTATTTTGATTTGTTGAGTTATAAGGAATGTCATTCTTATATTAGTACTGTAAGATAAGGTAAAAAAAAAAAAAAAAATTTTTTTTT